ACAGTTCGTAGAAGGCTGATGAAACAAACAGAAAAAGAGATGCCCCTATCGTACACATTACACGAGCACAGCACACCCTGCTCCACGCATTAGTGACAAGCTTTTCCGAATGATAACTCTTGTCCTTTGCTATATTTATATGAGGATCAATTCCATCTTCTTCAGCCACTGGATATTGGGTGCTTCTCCCCCTTGAAGACTGCATATGGACGACAGGTGGAGAATCAGATGCGGCTTGGGATCAATCATATTGACAAGGAGGAGTTTCTGGCCCTATATCCTGCAGCTCAGATGCAGGCTCTGACTGAGAACAACATCAAGAGCAGTTTCAGGGCAGCTGGGCTGGTTCCATACAATCCTGAGCAGGTTCTCTCGCGCCTTAATACCACAATGCATACCCCCACCCCACCTGGGACCTCTCATAGCTCTCAGGCCTCCTGGGCCACTGCTACACCACATAATATACACCAGCTAGAGCAGCAGACTAAGAAAGTTAAAGGATATATTAAGCACCGTACGCAGAGCCCACCCAGCCCAACTGATCGTGCCCTAAATCAGCTGGTCAAGGGATGTCAAATGGCAATGCATAGTGCTGCTATTCTAGCAGCTGAAAATAGGTAGTTAAGGGCTACAAATGCTAAACAAAAGAGAAAGCGAGAAAGAGGCCGTACATATGTAGCCCAAGAGGGAGCTTTGGGGGTGGAAGAAGGCTTGGATCGCGTACGAAGCATCAATGAATGGGAAAGAGGGGTGGTTGAGGCTGCTGAGTCCCAACCACGAAGACGTGCAGCACCACAGTGTAGTGTATGTGGGATTATTGGGCATACTGCCCGTACATGCTCTAAGCGTACAGGAAATAATTGATAATATCAGTTTGTTAATTTTGGGTTGTATTCAGGACTTGAAGAGCATTCTTGTTGTATGGCAGGTGGGAAGTGGCTCGCTTGCTTATGTGGCTCGCTCGCTTATCGATTAACGTAATCAACCACTCAACGCCCGTCTACACTCAACGCCCGCTATTTTGCCACCACTACAATGAAATCTTTTCATTAATATCTCAACAACGCAATTAGATTTTAATATTATATATTATATGATGAAAATATATATAGAAAATTACATATAAAAATATATAGCTAATTCAAAAGATGTTTGTTGGGCTTAATAACTCGCCCGGAACGCGAAATCTTGGGTGGAGGCAGATTCAATGAGCAGGCAGCGGTCAAATCCGTAGGGGTTGCAATATCATCCGGACCCCCCGGCGGCGGACCCGCGGGCAACCTGGCAGAGCTCTGAAAACGCGATTTAGCCACTCTTTGCGAAATCGAGGGTCTGATTTCCCGATTAGGAAGGTGATTTTTGGACCCCCGAACCTGGCCCCCCCCCCAACCGCGATTGCTGCCGCGCAGCAGCTCGTTCTTCCTTTTCCTTTTGCTCTTGGGCCTTCTTTGCATCCCTAAGCTCCCTGTCAATCTGCCGTTGAGCGGCTCTTGCGGCCTTATCCATCTCCTTTTGCTCCTTAGCTGCCTGGCGAGCTGCCTCCCGCTCCATTCGCTGTAACATGATATCTGTCTCCTTCTGCTCCTTAAGAATAGCGTGTTGCAACTTGGCATCCTCCTTACGAGCCCTGTTCATCCTTTTTGGCGGCCTCTGCGGCAGTCATCTGCTCGCGGATGCTCTGCACCTTTGCCGGTGAAAAGAACTGTGCCAATGACGGATTTGAAGAATCTAGCAACCCCATTGCCCTGCCACGCTTGCGACGTCTTCTTTCCTGATTTCTGGGTCGATATTGCGCGTCTGGGGGGGTGCAAGGGCGTATTGCAAGCTTTTTAAGAACCTGTTCTGGATCAAATGGATGTAGGCCAACCGCAGCGAACGCGGATATAATATTTGAGGATGTAACTGATTCCTTCCAAGCAGCATCAAATAGCTGCCAAAAAGACCTCTTTGTAGTGCGTACAAATCCCATACCGGTTCTCATTCGCTCATTCAAATGCTTAGAATATGATTTGCTCAATGGTCCAAATATCCCAACATCTAGCGGTTGTAATCGGTGTGTAGAGTGGGGAGGAAAGACAGCAAGTAAAATCTTATGCTGAGCCGCGTAATTGATGAATGCCATATTAACATGGGATGAGTGGCCATCTAATATAAGAAGCCTGTATCCACGCCCTGCTTTCTTTTTTGTATGAGGTTCAAAGATCTTCTTTAACCACATTAACCCATATTCATCATTGCTCCATCCATTCTCTGAAGCAGCAAAGTAGACCTGATCCTTTTTGCTATCAAAATCTTCCAGCCAAGTATCTTGTATATCCCTTGATTCCCCTTGATATATGAGAGCAGGTGGGAGTGAGGTTCCATCGGCGCAAATTGAGGCAAGTAGTGTAATGAATTCGCGGCTGCCATCCTGGCTGGCACCTATTGTACGGCCGGATTTGAGCGCATTAATTGATACAATACGCTTGAGGGTGTGGATGAAGCCCAATAGGAATCCTTTTTCATCGAAGTTGTAGATATTCCCAGGTTCAATATTGTATTTAGTGATCTTTTCCTGTAGCTGCAAATCAACAATAAATTAGCAAGATAAAAGTAAGAAAAGCAGTAGAGAAAAGCAATATATACAAGATCAAAATAATGCTTAAAGTATGTAGAATTGTCCGCAATCTTGCGTTTTTGGTCGATATTTCGCAGGTAAACTGACTTGATTACATCCTTGTGGCGTTGACAGAACCTTGCCACCCAGTTGGCTCCAATAGGTTCTTTTAATATCTCAACAACAAGATTATGAAGGATTTGGGGCGTACAAGGGAAACCGCGATCTGCCAATCGATTGATATGAAAAAGGAGTCGATTTTCTTGCGAATCTGTGAGGATTTTGCGGTGGATAGAGGTTGCTTCCTTTCTTGACGTTTGAACACCTCTATAGCGCCGTGAGAGTGTATAACGACTGATTCCATATTTCTCAGCGGTCACAGTGTAATTAGGAACCAATTGGGCATTCAAATCATCAATCGCGGACAATATAACTGCCTCGTGGTGCATCTTGTGGGTGTTTGAAGATGGATGAAAAAATGAGGATTGGGTGGGCGTTGAGTGTAGACGGGCGTTGAGTGGTTGATTACGTTAGCCTAATACAAGAGTAGTAGTTCGTTATGTAATCCAGCTTAATGATCACAGCGGGGAAGTCACACTTGATCGTGGTGCCAACTTCGGTCGGAAAAAAAGCTCGGCGTTCAACATCTCTTCTTTCACTACGAGTACTCAGCAATGTCCAATTCCAACCGTTGGGCAGCTAATTCGCTGCCTTTCTTCCTCCAGTTGTTCCTGGGCCGGGGAAAGTATAGAGAACGTCAAAGACAAGGAAGTCTCGGCGCTAAATCATGAAATTTCCAGGTCGAAAATGGAAATCCGTATGCTCGGAGTGGTGCATAAAGACCTGCGGCCTGCCAACATGTTATGGAACAATGAACTGGGCCGGATTCTGATCATAGACTTTGACCGGTCCGACATAGACCGGCGCCCGATGAAAAAGCGAGTTGGATCCTCGAAAAGGTCACTTCTTCAGATCAATGGCTGGACTGGACATATCTCCACGACAACAGGGTCAAACCTCCAATGTAGCGCCTGGATGGGTTAGAGCGTTGAGATATTAGGGCTAGAAGATATATTTATGGTCCAAGCTCCTCATCAGATTCTATAGCACATGCCAGAATTTGGATGCCACGTCAAAGACGAAAACGATTACCGCCACACCAGACCAATGTTCAGAGAAGATGTCGTCGGAGACGATGTCGCTCAGGATGGCAACTCTGTAAATTTAACAAAAACCTTGTGCCTCATTCCTATTAATATTTTCAACAATCTACAATAGATAGGCGATATCAATGGAGCTCGTGGGCTGGAATCAAATATGCTAAACAAACAAAGATCAGACGACGGGAACCGAAGCAAACGAGGCAGAGCCAAATTGATATTTAGGTCACTTTTTCAAAATGTGTTTCTGTCGAACGTCATCTCAAGCGACCAGTCGATTTGACGCGGCGCTTGCATGCTTGCACCACCTTAAAACCCTTTCTTGTCCGCAAAATCCCTCCATTTAGACCCGAACTGGAGATACACACTTAAGGTAACGGACCATCCACTTATTCCGCTGCACAACGCACTATCCTGGGAAGA